GTTGAAGAATGGTAGGCAGCGATCTGTCAGCCTTGATATGAAGCGGCTAAGGGTAGCTATTCGCCCATTTAGGCACATGACCTGTTTTTTACTGGTCGGGCTCTCCATATTGAGCAGAGCTTGAATCTTCTCGGGGTTTATTTTTATCCCTCGCTGATTAACCATGTACCCTAGGAACTTTCCTAACGATACCCCGAATGAACACTTGAGAGGATTCAGCTTCATTCTGTACAGTCGGAGGATGTCAAACATCTTAGCGAGATGCGCAATATGTTCTGAGGCGACCTGGGATTTGACCAGCATATCATCCATATAGACCTCCATTGTTTTTCCAATCTGGTCGGAGAACATCCGGTTAACCAGCCGCTGGTAGGTTGCGCCAACATTCTTGAGGCCGAAAGGCATCACTTTGTAACAGTATAGCCCCCGGTCTGTGATGAAAGACGTATGCTCCTCGTCTGGCCCATACATCGGGATCTGATTGTATCCCGAATATGCATCCATGAAACTTAGCAGCTCGTGCCTCGAAGTGGCATCCACGAGCTGGTCGATTCTCGGCAGAGGGAAGCTGTCTTTCGGGCAAGCCTTATTGAGGTCGTTGAAATCAACACAGGTCTGCCACTTGTCATTTGGCTTCTTTACCAGGACCGAATTTGCAACCTAGGTTGGGTAGAGTGCCTCTCGGATGGACCCATTTCGGAGGAGGTTCTCCACTTTTGACTTTAATGCAGCATACCGCTCCGGATCCATTGCTCTTCTTTTCTGACGAACTGGCTTGGCTTCGCTGTCGAAGTTTAACGCATGGTAAATAATGTTCGGGCTGATCCCGACCATATCTGCATGCGACCAGGCAAACACATCGATGTTTTCTCTTAAGAAGCTAATCAGTTCGGACGCGAGCTGAGGGTTGAGACTGCTCCCAATCCTTAACACTCGGCTTGGCTTTTTTAGGTCGACTGATACTTCAGACAAGTCCCCAACTAGGCCGCTGGAAGAGGTCTCCTGAATTCGAGGATCCATATTATCCTCTGCTAGGCCAGGCTGCGGCTCGATCCTACTGATCGCCATGGCCTGGCGGGGCGCACTTCGCGGAACACCCTTTCCTTTACTTGCCATCTGCACCGCTTTTATGTAGCAGTCGCGAGATGCGCTTTGCGATCCGCTCACTTCCCCTATCCCCGTTGGGGTGGGGAACTTCATCTTGAGATGGTATATGGAAGTTACTGCCTTGAAGCTTCTTAGCAGAGGTCGCCCTAGGATCCCATTGAAGGCGGATGGGCAATCCACGACCAAGAACTCAGTTACCTTAGTTACCTCGTCATAGTCGCCTAGCGTGATCGGGAGTTGGATTCTCCCTTTGGGGATTAAATGGTCCCCTGTAAAGCCATAGAGAGGGATTGAGGCGGGCTTCAGGTTGGCCTCGTCCAGGTTTATTCTTTCGAAAGCGGTCTGGAACAGAATGTTCACAGCGCTTCCGTTATCCACGAGCATTCTGCGGATGTTATGGTGCCATATGAGAGGCGTGATCACAAGGGCGTCTTCGTGAGGGTGATGCAGGCGAGCTGCTTCCTTTTCGCAGAAGGTGATCGGCTCCTCCTTTCGAGCCTTTTGCGGTCGCTGCAATGTGTTCATTACCCTGATCGGGTCGTGATATGCTTCGCGAGCGTACCTTTCCTGCGCACCTCGTGTGTTTCCCGCGAGGTGTGGCCCTCCAAAGATTATGTTAACACTACTGTACCCTCTGCGATCACGACGCTTTTTCCCTTGCTCCTCTTAGTTCTTCTCTTTTGGGGCAGAGTCATCAATATACTCCTTGAAGTGCCCTTTCTTGATGAGCTTTTCGATTGCTTGCTTTAGAGCTCAGCACTCATCGGTGTGGTGCCCGTTGTCCCGATGGAAGCGATAGTATTTTTTGCTGTTTCTAGCCGTAGCAGGGGTTTTCATAGGTTCCGGCTCACCGAGCAGGCTGGCCTCCTCGGATTTGTCAAGAATTGCAGAGATGGACACATTCAGCGGAGTGTATTGGATTTTGTCGCGATCACGATGGGGAACAGGAGCATAGGACTTTTTGTGCTCGTAGCGGGGTTTCTTCTCTTTTCGTTGATCGTCAATGTCTCCTCTGCGATCAGTTCTCCTACTTTCTCCCCGACCAGACATACTGCTCGAAGTTCCGTGATCGCGACGGCGGAGTGCCGCCAATGAATTCTCTATTCGGAGATATTTTTCTGCAAGGTTGTAAAACCTGGTGAGAGAAACACCGTCCTCAGCCTGTAATTCTCTCTACAGGTCGGTTTGCGGGCGAACTCCAATTATTATAAGTGTTCGGATGGACTCTTCGGGGGCATGAGCCACCTTGTTGAGTTCCCTGTGGAAACGGTCAATGTAGGATTATAGGGATTCATCCCTTTCTTGCCTTATGTTGCTGAGATAGCTCAAAGGCATTGAAAACTTTCGATTTGCTTGGAAATGCCGCAGGAACGTCGTGCTTATCTGAGGCCACAAACTGATCGATCCCGCTGGGAGCGACCTTAACCATCGTTTGGCATGGGAAGTTAGAGTCACGACCAAACAACGGCATTTTGCAAGATCTGAAACTTGGTGGAGCTCCATCAGGTCTTTGAACTCATACAGATGATCTTGCAGGTCATGGTTCCCATCAAACGGCCGCATGTCGGGCATTCTGAACCCTGGTGGGAGTGGAGCAGCTAACACTTCGGGAGAGAAGGGGGATGCAAAGACGACCTGGGCCTGTTCGTTTTGCTGCTCTCTCAGCCTGTCTAGAGCTAGCTGCAACTCCTCGATTTGTGGTAACGGAGCCAGTTGGGGATTGCTTTCACCCATGCGAGTTCGGCCCTCGTAATTACGGTTCAGGAAAGTCCGGAGGTCAAACTCCTCTTCGCCTCAGCCGGCACTTCCGACCGCTCTCGACACACGCTGGCTAGAGGAGTGTGAAGGCGATGGATGGTGTGGGGTATTTTCACGACCCTTGCGGTGGTACGAACCGCCCCGCGAGGTGTGGGGATCACCCTCATGATAGCGATCGGGATCGTTCTGCTAGCGGTGATAAGAATCAACCCGCCCAGCACTTTTGCTTGAGTTCACCTACGACGTGGCATGGGACAGCTCGGGATTCACTTTTTCACGGAGTCTCAGCTTTGCTGGCACCCTGTTTGGGGCACGGTTTGTGTTCGCTGGCCCTTTGGAGCCTGTAGGCTTGCTTTTTGCCACTTGCTTACCCTTACATCTACGCGCTGCAGTGCTCGTGGCACGGGCTATTTCCCTTTGCCGCGCTTTCGCACGACCTGCAGGCGTTTTTGGCGGTTGCACCGCCCCGACTATTCTAGATGGCACGCCTTGGTCCAAACGGTCTAGCCTTTGGTTGACCGTCTGGAGAGTATTGTCGAACCTCTCCAGGTAGCTTCTGATGGCGGGGTCAAGCTGCGAAGCTGCTGGGATATCCACCGCAGCATTTTGCGGAACCGAAAGTATCCTGGAAAAGGTATCCCCCTGGGTTAGGGGAACTCCCTCAGTGCACTGATTGGCTTGCTCAGGTTCATATTGGCGGGCCATTTGTTGCTGTAGGACCAGTAGGTTGAAGATTCTCCTGATGAAGGATGAACACTAAATCTGGGCCCTCCTTCTAGCGCCAAACTGTTGATGCGCGATTTTGATACCAACTAATTGACACGTGCGTAACGTTGGTTGGACAAGAGACACACGTGATTATGAATAACATGTAGAGTAAATGCAATAATGAGAGCTTTTTAAAGTGGTTCGGATGCTAAGGTAGCAAGTCCTACGTCCACTGATTGTTGTATTAGTATTGTGGGTCAGGTCGCAACAGCGGACTGACTTACAAATGATTAGGAAAAGTAAATACAAAGATACAAGAGAGAGAGAAAGCTAGTTCAAAGTGTAAAAAGGCCGAATCCCCTCAATGAAGGGGTCTTTCCTTTCTATAGTGAGATGAGTGCAGGTAATCATCATTAAATCCGTGGGTTGGTGTAAATGTTAGGGCTAAATCCGGCTTTACGTCACATTGCCCACCTTCCAAGCTGATTTTACGCGATTTGGTGCAGGGAATAGATACATGGGAGCTCCACGGCGTCTTGTAGGCCTGACGTGTGTTTACCGTTCTGACAAGAGCAGGTCACACCCCATCACGTGATTTCCTACGTCAACCCTTGATTTCCCAGGCATAACAATTTCCATTATTTAAAAAATAATAATAATATGATGGCAATTTGTGTTAAATTATTGGGGAATTAGGTATAAACACATTTTAAACAATTCATTGTACAACTAATAATTGTAGATTAGGTTGTCACTTTCTTATCTTGCTACTAAGTTGAAGAGTTGAACCATTACGTTCCGACAACCCAACTCAAAGCGTGCTAAAGTTGAACCATGCAAATTTCATTACGTTTTGGCAACCTTACCCAAACCCTTGTTGAAGTTGGACCATGTAAATTTTATTAGCTTATGACAAGCTAACCCAGAAACGGATGAACTCAAGATTTCATGTTAAAGGGGACAATTTTAAAATATATAATATAAAATAATGTTAGAGGAGTTAAGAAATATAACGGGTTCAAACTCAAATGCTAGATAATTGTTTATTTCTTATGTAAAAGTAAGATGATACAAGATTATTGCGCTTTAAAATCCTAACAGAGATTAACGGAAAGGGAGTTACAGTTAGATTTTTATTTTTTTTTAACGGCTAAGAGTGGACATAAGGAGGATGGATAGTAATATCTTTACCAGTAACCAGTTGGTCATTTTATAATACAAAATAATCAACCGAAAAAAATAATAATAATATCAATGACATTAAACTTTACTTTATTAACTTGTTTCTGAATGTTCCTCTTCAAAAACTTGGCCAACATTTGATGATGCAATTTGACAAAGTTCCATATATCTTGTATTGCTATTTTCAAGAACAAACTTTATGGGCATGAAATTTATTCCGTTAGTCTGGATCAGACACATCATGATATCACAAGGGCACAATTTATTTTCTACTTCGTATAACTTATCCATCCTTCATAGGTATTCAATTGAAGGAACTCTACTGTTTCTTATCTAATTTTCTTGGGGAATCACAGTCTATCCTTAATTAATAATACAACTGCATAATTAAGTTAAAGCACCCCTGGTTTATTCTGTGACACTTCATCTGAAAGAGCCTTTACGGCTGGACTTCTGTATGGAATTCCTGTAGCAAACTCAATTTTGGAGTTTGTTGTATACGTTCAGATCAGCGTGAGTATCCTTATAGCGTTGGCACAGGTATGTTCCACATTTGACTGGGGGAAACCTGGCCAAATGCAGCATTAGAAAGTCAAAATAAATGCACACAAAATGGATGTCTAGCTCAGTAACAAAATCTAAACATGCTCAACAGAGCAATAGAGGTCAATGCCAACATCACAAACAGAAAAGGTATCAAATTCTTCATGTTCCATAAAAAAATATTTGGGATCATAACTTACTTGGGAGGATTTTTCTCTGACTTGCAAGTTGGCAAACACTCAACAAGACAATCATGACTAGGTTCCACAAAGTACGCAATCTGTCCCCAGAATGTAGAAATTCAGGCACATAACTTTCGCAATAGGATGATCAAAAAGGGGGAAAAAATACCAAGTAAATTTAAAAAAATATATATGAAAAAGAGGTTTAGGAAATTAAATATAGGTGTCAGGAAAAGATATATCCATATCTTGGGAAGATAATCTCACTAAATTAACAATGTCCTCTATTGCAATAACCCTTTCTCAGCAGTTAAAAGTCATCAAAATTGTCCTCGAAAACAAAGACATACATGTGTTATTATTCTCACTAATAATCTAAATTAAATGAAGTAGGCTCAGCAAGTAACAAGAAGTAGCATAAGAAACTTTGAAGTTTTAAGAACCCAATTTAACCTTCTGGTAGCTACAACTAATTCTATCATCATCTATGAAAACAGAGGGGACCCAAATCTTGAAACAAGGAAATTTTCAACTGGTTATGTTTGGCACAACCTCCACATAGTTAAAGTAGAAAGCATCTTGAGTGAATAAAAGCAAAGTTTAATTGTTGTATGCTCATGCAGAAAAGCATATATAGAGATCAACTAACAAACTTTTGGTGCAAAACTTTTATCATATAAATACATTCCAGAACATGTTACATTGCAATTATAGATCATCTAAAAGATTTTAAGGGCTCACAGTCTGGAAAAATAAATATACAAAAAGAAAGTAGACTTACAGAATATCTCTCACGGCCATTTCCTAAGACTCTGTGCAGAGTGGACCTGGGCAAAAACACAGAAAATAAAGGCAGGTCATAAGATGGTTGCCAGTCTACCAGAACAGAAGGAAGAGGTACAAAAATTATAGTTTCAACAAGTATCCATACTTATGTTCAACCTACCAAACGAGTAAAGGCAATAATATAACCACGACAACACTTGTGGACAAGGTGGTGTACTCAGCAATAATTACTTTCTCCACTTCTTTATACCCTTAAATTCATGCACATAACTAGGACAACAGCATTAGTATGTAATATCTCTAAATTATTTGGCATAGCTCAATATATAGAGCAAAGGTGAATGCAGAAAATTTGGTTCTTAAAGATTTTTACATGAAAATATTAGAATATTTTACTGAAAAATTACACTTGGAGCAACATAATGCCTAATACCAAATCTCTCATTTGAATTTTCTCATAGACAAATGAGAAGGCAATGCAACAAATTAAGCAATATAAATCACAATTTATATTAACATAAATTGCTGGGAGAAAGCAATTCACAAGTCACATTTATATATATATAATGTCATAAGTAGAGGAATTGCAACATAAGCGATGACCATAACCACAAAAAGGCCATAAGAGCCAGACACCCAAATGTAAAACAAACAAAGTTTAAGGTTAATTATTATTCATGATTAATGTAACTACAGGTAAGTCGGCCTGAATGCCTTGTGAAGCCGTAAATTCACTCATATCTTGTAAAGAATAAAATGTAAGAATAATCTAAACCATTACTTGAATATACAGTTGCTCCACCGCTCCAGCATGTCACCAAGATTCACAATAAATGATCTGTAAAGATAAGCCATAGTGAAAGGATGTCATTACCCCAAAATACAAAGCCTGTCACTATACTGTCACCAAGGCAGTTTAATCTAAAATTCTTACCAGTATGCATTTTGATAAAACATCACATTGTATTAACAGAATGCATTTAGTATTATGTATGCCTTAATGTCTGTACATTAGTCTTTACAACTATCTAAAGATACACCACCTAGAAAGATAACAGGGAAAGTACTAGAATTGGAGTCCAAACATTGTAAACCAAAATTTAACAGAATATTGAAAGGATTTTTTATTAAAGAAAGATCATGATTTACAGAATTACTGGTATGCATCACAACCAGTGCAGTACATATATATACGGGATCTCCACCAGATTATTACAAAATAAAAAATAAGAATCTCAAAAAGGAAAATTTGATCAAAGTACAATTTAAGAAAAAAATTATCTACAATAACAAAAAATCACTCATGGAAGGGATACTCAAAATGAAGACATAATTGATGAAAAACAAGAAAGGTTAAAGTACGATACATATAGTGCTACATCGGTAAACTACTTCTTCAACCAAGAAGAAGAATAGTTTTCAGGGCCCAGGGTTTAATTATGTTCCCTTTGGATGTTTACTGCTAGGAGATGTGAAGGGGCTCTTAGCAGAAAATCTGATCATGACAACTAATCATGAATCTTGAAAGAGTATTCAACATGCAGTAATACACTAATCACCGATAGAGTGTTAACAATTAAATAAACATATATTAACCTGACTCACCCTTTTACTGGTGCTACATATTCCCATATCTGAGGTTTAGCATCCTTATCCTTGCATATCTATGATTAATCTAAAATTGTCAGTAGCTTAATACAAAATGAAAAATATGGTCACATTTTAGGGCATTATTCATACTTGAAGACCTAACACATCGTCTGTTGCTAAGAGGGTAATCAAACCGAAGTCTGAATGTGCCCCAGCTCCATATATTCCTTTCACAGGATCAGAAACTCGACCTAAACGAAAGAAAAGAATAAATTAACAACACTGAAGTCATTTTAATAGCGCAATGGTGTCAGGTCTATAATGGAATTCATTGGCCTTCCAATTTTAGAATTTCACCTTCATAGTGTAGTAGCCTCAAGGTAGCAATAGGCTCTCCAAGCATTTCAGGCTTATCAAAAAAATCAACCTCTAAATCAAGTGCAAGGGCTATTATCCTTGCAACTGCTTTAGCCACCTCTCTGAATGCACATAAATAATAGATCAAGTATATTTCAATAGTTGAAAACAGAAATGAATAGACTGTAAAATAGCCTTTAGTATCTGAAACTCTACTAACACCAGACAGGAAAAATTAACTCATATGCATGTAAATTAAAAGATTTCTATATGTTTGCCACAACTTACAAAGCTTCTCGATGAAATCTCTCCATTGTGTCCCTCCATCCAGGCAAAACATCTAAGAAAAGCAAAATATTCAAAAAATCAAAATTGTTTCTAGACAAAAGTCATCTAAATAAATTTTACTCCAGACCAGTGAATTGATAAAGTGACCTGGTGCAGGCCACACATTTGGACCATAAAAGGGCTTTTCTGCTTCAGGGTCACCTTCAGGTACTTCAACACCTATGTAATATCCCTCCTTATAATCTCCTACTACCAAAAATTCATATAAAAAATAAACGATCAGAACTTTCATTGACACTGAAAAAAAGAAAGAAAGAAGTTGAAGGGAAAACAACTAACCATGTACTTGATTATCAGGGTCAAGAAGCTCATCAAGAACAGGTGTGTAACCTCTGTGTTTCTCGTTCCTTAAAAGCTTCATTTTCTCATTCAATGGCAATTCAAAAAACCTTTTACTCATACCAAAAACCTCGTCCATGAATTCTTGACTTATCCCATGATTAATCACGTAGAAGAATCCACAATCCAAGCATGCCTGGAAAATCATATACACAAATTAAATTAAAAAGAATAAGAAAATGTATGGATTGATTTGTTTTTATTAAAAATGAGATGAAGAGGACCTGTTTGAGGAGAGAAAAGGATTGGGGAATGTCAGAGCTGGAGAGATCGATGCAGTTAAGGAGCGAGACTCTGTCAGTGGCGGGACATGGTTCAGCGCCATTTTAACCGGTCCCTGTTTTTCCATTTTATGGTTTGGTAATTCTTGTTAGTGAGGTGGTGTGTTTTTTGTAGGTGAAGAGCAGAGTATGAGAAGCTGAAGATGAAAATTTATAGAAAAGAGAGTGTAATGAAAGCGTTGTCGTGGGGTTAAGCGTTGCCTGCCTGCTTATGATGGCCATGGCCCCTCCATTTATTCGTTTGAATAATTTATATTCTAAAATTTGAAGATTATGGTGAGGGTAGGTTTGTTGAGTGGTTTTGTTATTCTTTGCAAGTCTTTGACCCTTCGACACGTTGTTGTGTTTCTAGGAAATGAGAATAGCAGAAGCTAGTTGAAAAAGAATGTACATTAAAGAGTAAATTGGTTGTAATTTTCCTAGAAATGGCCAAATGGATTGTAACCATAACCACCTTTTTTTATGTCGTTCAAGTGGGAGATCAAAACACAAACACCCTTCTTTTTAAAACCAACACATGAATCAATCACGAGTCATTATCATTGAATTTATCAATCTTTTCGCAATAATTACGTTTGAGATAATGAGACCCACTATTGACCCAAACAAGATATAAAATTGTCTCAATTAACCATTTCAAAGAAAAATGTATCTTCAATTCAAATAAGAAACTGAATTGGAGGGTTTATAATTAAGTAGAAGAAGAAGAATGTGCAAACCTTTGAAACCAGTTTATTGATTGATAAGGAGAGTTAAAGTCTCTCATGATATAGAATAAAAAGCGAAGAGAGGTGGCCAGGTGGGGATTCTGTGAAAAAGGAGATTACTTAATTATCTCTGGGTGATCGAGAGGTTCGAGAGAATTTTGTCTTGAATAAATTATTCAAGAGATTCTAACTTCGAGTTTGAGGTGCGTTTAAGTTGGCCTAAGCACTCCCGATTATAAAAAAATGAGTTTGGGGTGCGGTCAAAAACCTCCGATCATAATAATAATAAAAAAAAAAAAGGAGATTACCCTTTTTTTTTTTTTTTTTTTTTTGTATTGCCTACTAACATATGTTTAGCTTCAACAACTTGAAATAACTAATTTTCATGTTCATTCATTTATTATATTTGTTTTTTAAAATCACATAAATAACTAAAAAATGGAAAACACTCTTCTGAAAAAAAAAAAAAAAAAAAAAGGGGATTTACAATTCATAAACTCATCTTTTGAATTGGTGTTATATCACATACTAGTTGATAAATAAATAAGTGGATGACAAAATTCTGTAAAAATGCATTGCTGGGACGGCTTAGCTAGGTTATGAGATGGATCCAAGCCAGAAAAATGGCTCGATGTTATTCAGCCCAATGCTTCCAGGTTGAGTTTAAAAGTAGTTGGATCCAATTAATATCATTTCATACATATGGCCATATTAATGCTAGTCTTGAGACCTTTAAACTCAGCCCAATTCAGTGGTATAGAATTGAGAATTCCCACGCAATTTTCACGAGGATTAAACCAAATATGAGATTATTAAGTTATGTGATCTTATATTACTTGATTATTATATTTAATTGTTAAGTAATATAAGATTTTAGTAATCTTTAAATACTAATAATAGTTACTGTTGGTAATATTGAAGGTAATCTGATTACCTCAATTTTCTTAGGTATTGTAAAATTATCAAAATAATCTTTTTTTTGTTACAATTCTATCATTTATTAATAAAATTTTTGGACAATAATACTCTTATTTGTAAATTAATTTACATGAATATGGCTTTTACTATTTTACCCTAATTAATTAACTTTTTTGATAAAATTACTCTTGAATTCAAAACAAATTGCAATCCACCCAAGTTACCACCCCCACCCCAATTAATTAGAGGATAATTTAGTAATTTAAATAACATAACCACTAATTTATTCCTCTCAACCAAACATATTAATATAATATATCTATCAACTAACCAAACACATTTTCCTAAAGATTCTCAATAAACTTCAAGATATTCTAGGGTGCGTTTGGTTTATTATTTTGGATAAGATTTTGGGAATAATATTGGGTAGTTGAATAGGAGAGTATTACGAGGTAAATTTAAAAATTTAAAAAAAGCCCCTAGGTTTACTAATTTAATTAAACACCCCAATATATAAAATGACAAAAATACCCCCACCACCCGCAGTGCCAGATTCTGGCCACCACAGTCGGAATCTGGCAAGAAAATCGTGTTACGACACAGACTGGTCGGATCTGTGTCGTAACGCATTGTTATGGCTTTTTCTGGCCAGATCTACGGCTTGCTGTAGCCATCGACGACCGAAAAAGGACAGATCTACGGCTTGCTGTAGCCATCGACAGCCGAAAAAGGCCAAAATGACGGCCATCTTTGGCCGTCAACGATAGCCAAAGATATGGTCGTCGCTGACGACCAAATCTGGCCTTTTTCGACCAGATCCACTGTGGATCTGGTTGACAAATGTCAGATCGGTGAATTACCGGCCAGTTTCGGTCGGTAATTCACCATTGTGGCAGATTCCGGCTACCACCGACGGTGGTTGCCAGAATCTGGCAAGTATGGGTCATATGGGTATTTTTATTAATTTTTAAACTTTTTTTTCAGGAGGTATTTAATGAAATTAATAACCTTATGAGGTCTAAAAGTAATTAAAAAAATAGGATAATATTTCTGAAATAATGTGTCAAATATTATTTAAAGAATAAGATTAAAAATATAGACAAAAATAATAAGTCAAATATACCCTAAACTTTTGAGTAATTCAACATTCTTTTAACCAAACGCACATTATATTCATGACATATCTTGATTGAAACCCCTTACTCGTATTTTGGATATTTAATGGAATAATAAACATAATTATAAATAATAGTACACCGAAATTGAAGGTAGCACGTATTGACTTCAAAAAAATAATGCTCCCCATTTATTGTGCATTCATAAACAGTCGGGGGGTCACTTTCATTGACAACAATAAAATATTATATTTATTCAACCGAAACATACCTTGAAAGAAACACTGATGGATTTCTGGTTAATCTTGGCCGGAGATTATGCAAATACTCCGACACAGAGGACAAGAATTGCAGTTGGAAACCCACATGGCGATACAAATATCATGAAACACGTGCCCACATATGACCTGCTTACCGGGAAATTCCGACCCAAAACCTTCCATGCACACCGCACAAACGCCTGCAGTTGATACAGTTTGCAACTTTGATGTCAAACTGGTGTTCGGTTCCGTGATTCGATGGCTTGAATCCTTTGACAATTCTTCTGGGGACCAAGTGTTTGCTGCAGTCATAGTTAAAGCCTCGTCCAGGTCGAAAATTTGATCGATTGGATAGTTTAGAATGATATTAGAAGCTGAAGATGGAGTGGCCATTGAGAGAAAGAGAATGTAGAGAGAGATAGGATCAATGAAAATAGATTTTGCTGTTGGTTGGGTTTTTTTATAGAAAAGCTTTAAACTCGAAACTGATTTGTAATATAGATTTTAAAATAAGTTTGACACTTATTTCTGGAACCAGCAAAGTTGGCTTTTAATAATATAGGCTGAATATCATTTTCCCACCCCATGTTTCGTGAAATTTTTCCAACCCTAGATTTAGAAATTATCAAAGTATCACCTATTTCAGAAAGACAAACGGTAAGTTTAACAGTAAATAGATATTAATGTAATTTTACTTCACACGTATAAGGTTAACCTTAAAAATTAATTTAACCCTACCTAAACACGAAACAATTTAAAAAAAAATAAAACCAAATTATCTCATAGTCAAGTCGCTCTTTTCGTTGAGACTAAGCATTGATTATTCAGTAACGAATCCAGAAACTTCTGTTAGGGTAGGTCAAAATAAAAACTAATCACATATAACATTTATATTTTGTTTTTTTTGTCGAAATTGTCACAAAAAGAAAAAAAATTACATATTAATATTTAAAAAAAAAATTTGAGGGTGAGCCATCGCCCACCCTCAATGTACTTTGATCCGCCCCCTGATTTAATTTATGGTTTCTAGGATTAAAGAAAATTTTTAGAAATTATGAATTGGGAATGCGTAGTTTTTTTTTTTTTTTTTTTTTGGGCTTTTCATCTGATACACCCATTGCCAATTTGCCATGCTAAACAGTTTGCATCTATAATCTCCACTTAAACCTCTAACGACTCTTTTTTGTTTGCCTACTGTATTCTTTTGGTTGTTTTTATTATAGATTCATGGTTTATTATTGTTATTGTTATAAGTATATAATTTTGTGAGTTTAAAGGAGGTGGTGGATGAATATGTTATGATTTTGTGTATTTCAATTAATTTGAACAGATGAATATAGTTTAATATATTTTGTTTAATTGAGATGAAGAGAGGTAATTTTGTGGAGATTAATCTAGATGATAACTAGGTTACCATTTTAAACTAATAGTTTGATCATTATTAATTAGTTTTTGTCTTTGTTTGGTATAAGATTGTTAGTTCTTCTTAATATGTGGTTGAGATTTATGTGTTCTTAGTTGAATAATCGAGATTATCATTAATTTTGGATTTTAATACTTGTTATGCCTGAAAAATATAGGGCTGATGTAAGGTCCAATCAGCGTGCAAAAGTCAGAACATGGGTATACCTGCAGCCTGCTTCTATCAGAATAGTGGGTGTGCGCCAGACCAGCCAGAAGTTGTGGTGATCCCACATGTCCAATTTCTGCGCCAAATCGCACAAATCACTATAGAAGGTGAGCAATGTGACATAAAGAAGGATTTACACGGATAATCTCATCAACTCACAGATTCAGTAATCATTAACTCAATGCATCCCACTATAAATTGAGAGTTCCTCTCTCATTCAAAGGATTCGCTCATTTTTACTCTTGATTAGCTATTTTCTCTGTAATACAAAAGCATTCTCTTTCTTGTACTATCACTTGAAGGTCAGTCAGCTCACGCGACCTGACCCCTATCATTAATAATATAACAGTGGACGTAAGACTTGCTTCCTTAGCATCCAAACCACTTTAAAAAC